ACTACAATACAACCAACAACTACTGTGTTGCAACATGCTTGACAACTTGTCTGTAGGGTGCCGGCTTAAAACACTACTTGACTTGTAACGGAATAAATAATCAAACCATAACAATCTGAAAACAACACAATATTCGGTTGGTGATTATCTGGAGATTGTTTTTTTTTTTGTTCGCTCTTTCTCTCCGCTCTCTGATTCATTCATTTGTTTTCGTTTATTCAATGAACATAAATATTTAACCATTACAATAAGAACAAAAAAAAAAAAAAAAATAAACAACAGCCAAAATACAACAGCTACGGTTAACAGCCACACGTGTACTCATGTCAGGAGATTGGGATGTGGTTTCAAGGATAACAAACAACATAATTAAATACATTTGTTGCTGTGTGATGGGTTATGGGTTATGTTGTGTCAAAAGGGGGGGTGTGGAGAGGTGGTGAGGTCATATCAATGTGTGTTAATTCGTGCGTGAAATGAACTAAAGGTGATAAATGAAAAGCCGAGGAGTCATCAGCTTAACTTTATCAGTACTCATGCCAAAAAAAAAAAAAAAAAAAAAAATACCCTTCTTAATTTTGAAATTATTTGTTTCGGAAAATCCACCCAACAAGCCTCTTTTTATTATTATCCCCCCCATCGCGATAACAATTATTTACCGATTTTAATGTATCCTCCCTCGGGCAATTAAAAAAATGAAAATGACCCGGCCACCACATCAGCCACCGACAAACAAAAGTTCAACTTTAATTGGCCTCCTTGGTTGATGTTGGTGGTTGGCCACTACAACTCACGGAGTTTATTTAATTTTTGCAATAATTACACTCTGACCAGGAGCAAGCGTGTATTTAAGTGCAAAATTATTTTATAATGCTATGTAATTTATTTTGCCTGGAGGACACTGTGGTGTACTCGTTATTTTTTTGAGAGAGATTTTGTTTCAATTAAAGGCCCGTTCAATGGAATCCATGGATTCACCAAAGACTTGTGGATTGTCTTCTTTTCTTAAAACACCTGTGAAAGGTTTACGATCTACGGAAGACCCGTTTTAGCTCTTCCAGCGAGATCTGTGAAAGGTGTTTCATCCTCATGACTCTAGTGGAGGAACTTCGCTCAAATGAAGAACTGTGGTGGAAATTCTTCTATCCCCTTCTATCCATAGAAGATTTATGGATCGTTGTCTACCCAAAAGATCTGTGGAACATTTTTTTAAATCCACATTCGAGGGACTTATAGTCCTCGAAAAAATATTCTTATATATCCACGCTAAGCATACTGGAGGTCCTTGAAAAATATTTTCTAAAATCCACATTCGGAGGACAAAGGACATTAAAAAAATACTAAAAAGCATGTCCTTGAAAAATGTTCATAAAAATGCCTATTTTCGGGAATAAAGGTACTAAAAAACAGTGTTTTTTCAAGATACCCTTATATTTTATTATCGCAAAATAGTCAGGCTTAATCCCATCATTGTTTTTTTTTTTCATAAAAACAACGTTGGTTTATTAATGGGGCAACAACAAAAGGTCCTCAAAACATTACTAAAATAATTCACATTTAGAACACTGAGGACTTAAAGTCACCAAAAAAGCAGTTTGCTTAAAAATGAAGGTCCTTGAAAAATAATCTTCAAAATTTCAAGGGTCATAATATGTTTTTCTTAATCAATTGACTTTTAGTGGACTTGGAAAAATATACTTGGAAAAATATTCTTTAAAATCCAGGTTGGTAGTCGATTGGTTCTTGAAAAAATATTCTGTAAAAGTCCATGTTTTCTTAAATAAAAGTCCTTGCAAAAATATTTTTAAAAATCCATGTTGAGTCTAAAGCTTCTTGAAAATATCCAGGTTGATCCTTAAGAAAATATTCTTTAAAATCCACGTATGGAGGTCGGTTGGTCCTTGAGAAAATATTCTTTGAAAATCCTAGTTTAGGAGACTAAAAGTCCTTGAAAAAATACTGTTTAAAAATAATCGTTTGGTGGACTCTTAGTCCTTGGAAACAATATTCTAAAAATCTACATTTTGTGGAAAGAAGGTCCTTCACAAAGTATTTTTAAAATTTGCATTTTTGTTGGCCTGGAAGTCCTTCAAAAAATATTCTAAGGAGCTTGAAAATATATTCATGAAAAAAATTCACATTCGAATGACAGAAGATCCTTGAAAATATTTTTAATAAATCCACGTATTCAAAAATATTATGAGCATATTTTAAAGCCCTTGAAAATATTTTCATCAAAAAATCCATGTATCCATATATTCAAGACTTACGGTCTTTGAAAAAAAATTCTTAAAAAGTCCACATTCGAGTGACTAAAGATCCTTGAAAATATTTTTAAAAAATCCATGTTTGGAGGTCGTTTGGTACTTCAAAAAATTAAAAATCCATGTTTGTCCAACTGAAGCTCCTTGAAAAAATATTTTTAAAGTTGCACTTTTGGTGGTCCTTGAAAAATTATTTAAAAAAAAAAATATTTTTAAAGTTGCACTTTTGGTGGTCCTTGAAAAATTATTTTTAAAAAATTCCACTTTTAGTTTCTGAACGCCCATGAAATATTCTAAGGACATTCCAAGGCCGTTGACAAAAAATATTCATGAAAAAATACAGGTTTGGTGGAATGAAAGTCTTTGAAGAAAATATTTTTAAAATATTCAATGTTGGTGGACTAAAAGTCCTTGTTCGATTGACCCTTGAAAATATTTTTAATAAATCCAAGTTTGGAGGTCGGAAGATCCTTAAAAAATTTAAAATCTAAGTTTGGCGGACTGAAGGTCCTTGAAAAATATGTTTTAAAAATCCATTTTTGGTGGCCTGAAGGTCCTTAAAAAATCCTTAAGGATTCTAACGCCTTTGAAAACATTTTCATGAAAAAATCCGAGTTTGGTGACTGAAGGTATTTAAAGAAATATTCTTAATAAATCTAAGTTTGGTGGACTAAAGGTCCTTGAAAAACAAAAGTCCTAAAACTAAAAAGTGGCTAAAGGTCCTTGAAAACAAATTCTTCAAAAAATACAAGTTTGGAGGTCCTTCAAAAATTATAAAGGTCCTAGTTAAATATATTCCTGAAAAATCCATGCTTTCTTTCAAAATTCTCGTTTAGATGTATTCAAAAAATATATATTTCTTAAAGAATTATTTATCAAATCTTTTAAAACTCCACGTTTGGAGGTCGGTTGGTCCTTCAAAAATTCAAGAAGGTCCTACCAAAAAATATTCTTAAAAATCCACGTTTAGAGGTCCTTGGAAATGCTCACTTCTCAATTTTCTTTAAATCCAAGCTTGGAGACCCTCAAAAATGGTTTAAAAAATCCACATTTGAAGGTCCTTAAACATATTTCCAAAAAATCGAAGCTTGGATGCCCTTAATTTTTTTATTATTCTCATTCTTTCCTAAAAATATTTTTAAAGCTCCACGTTTGGCTTTCTTGAAAATATGTTTAAAAACAACTGTCTGAGGTCTCTAAAAATTTGGAGGTCCTTTTTTAAAATCCACATTTGGAGGTCTTTAGAAATGTTTATAGAAATCCACCTTGAAAGTCCTTAAAATATTATTAAAAGGTGAACTTTGGGATATACTTAGAGGTATTTTTAAAAATTCACCTCTAAAGTTTTTCAAATACTTTCAAATGGTGCAATTTCGGAGGTCTTCGGAGTCATTTTTAACAATCTGAAAAATATATATTTGTAATAGTTCGCATTTCCTTTAAAAAAATGTTGTAAAAAACACATTTATTTTTATATTTTTTAAAAATCCTCTATCCTTAAAATATTTTTAAGATGTCCTTGGAGTTATTATTAACAATCTAAAAAATATGTTTTAAATATTTCGCATTTGAGGTGTCCTTAAAAATATTGTAAAAGACTCCTTAAAATATTTTTTAAAAATCCAGGTCAAGCGGAAATATACTTTAGAAAAAAAAATACATAAATTAAGACCATTTTAAAAATATTCCTAACAATTCCATGTTGGCAGGACCTTAAAATTTTTTAATAATTTAAAAAAAAAATCTAAGTCTGACGGAACAAAAGGTCCCTAAAAATATCTTTAAAGTCGTCGTTTGAAGGACTGAAGGTCCTTGGAGACATAGTATTGAAAATGTAAAATTGGAAGGCCTAGGACTTACCAAATGTCCTTAGAAAATAAATTGGTTGAAGGTACCAAAGGTTATTGAAAAAAACATCCAAGAAAAAATTAAGTTTAGGGATCCTGAGGTCCTTAAAAAATATTTTTTAAAATGTCGTGTTGTTGAAAGATCCCAGTACACAGATTTGAAAATCCGAATTAGTTGTTTAAATTTCTAGAAGGCCCATCTTGTGAGGTCCTTTGGAAAATCTTCTACACCTAAAAGATGTTATTTCCATAGAGTTCGGCAGAAGATTTTCTAAAAAGAGAATATCGTTATCTTCCACTTATTTCCATAGTGTTTTATCCTAAAAAAATCGATCGATTTTTATTACTCTCCATAATTTCCTACTTCTCTCCAAACCACTGTCCTTATCATTTACATCAGCCAACAAAAAATTGCGGAAACGGAAATGTGCATAGCTATGAAAATTAGCAAATAATAATGAGAGATTGTTACAAAATAATGGTTTCAATTAAGCTTCTCAGCTTTGTTGTTGTTGCTCTTTGTGTAATTTGTGTGGGCACTAGCTTGGAAAATTGTAAAAAGAAAGAGAAAACACAAATAAACAAACGCAAATGAACAGCCATAAATAATTCTAATTTTCAACAAAACCATATTTTAATTCATTTGTTTTTTTTTTCTATAAAAAAGTATCCTTTTTTCTCTCCTCTCCCTCTCTTGATTGTCTATTATGAGCGTTGGTGTTTTTGTTTTGTTTACTTTTTTGTTTTTTTTTTTTTGTTTTAGATTTCTCTTTTTAATTAATGCCTCAGTGCTGGCGGCTCAGTGTCAGTGTCAGTGTCAGGGTCAGTGTCATTGCCACTGGCCCACCGAGTAAATCCATTGCAAATCCCTTAATTGTGACAAACTTACTTCGGTTGGCAGTGCCACCAGGTCCTGGGCCGAGCTGACGAAACGATTGTATTGTTCATTGGCCATGGCCAGGCGTCCAGTTTCGTAGCAGAACAGGGCGAAATTTAAATGAATCAAAGGATTTCGGGACGATGATGATGCAGCGGTGGCGGCGCCACCATTTCCTCCCCCACGACCAGCAGTTCCGTTTTCGTTGTCCCCCATTTTCGTTACATTTCCAGCTGTTGGATTAGATGTACGACCCAGAGATATGTTGCTGGCACGTTCAAATGCGGTATAGGCATTATCAAAATCCTCAAGTTTGCGTAGACATACTGTGAGTGGAGAGGGGAGGGGTGGGGTGGTTAGAAGGAAGGGGGAGGGAAAAATGATAGAAGGAGGAAAAAGATAAAATGCAAAGATTAAGAAAAATACACAACAAACCATATTGTATTGTTAATAAGATAGTCATAATATTGTAGAACAAATGCACAGACACACAGACAAATGCACACACACATACACATAGAGACACACAGTCAGACATCAACCCACACAGAAGCCCCCAGTGGATATGTGTACTTATATTCTTAATAAAAAAAAATCCTTTTTACATAAAACAAAAGACAAATGGAAGGACTTATCTCACAATAGACGGCGCAAAATTTTCAATGCCCTACAGCTGGTGGTGATGCAGGTGGGTTCCTTAGAACCTCTGTGGTCTCTGTGTAAGATTTTTGTTTTCAATATAGAGACAAGAGGATCTTTATACTCGGTTCAGGGCTATATTTAGGCAAGGGTTCCTTACAAAGTCTATGAATAGCAATGAGGACCAAGGGGCTCCATTTACCCACTTCGCTCTTCTGTTCGATTCTTCGAATAGCAAAAACACCATTTTTCAAAAAAAAAAAAATAAATAAATAAAAAAAAAATAAATAAATAAAAAAAATTAAAAAAAAAAATATTCATGTATAAGTAAGAGTCATCTGTCAGTAATTAAAAAAAAAAAAAACTCCCAGCTGACAATATACCTCTCCCCCCTGATAATACCCCCCATCCCCTCGATTGTAGGGGTATATTTCTGAAAGCCATTTTTGGATACTTTTTAAAATAAAATTTTAATTAATTTTAAAAAATAAGAAAACAAAATAAATAATGAGCAATAAAAAACAAGTAAAAAACCTTTAAGTTCTGCCGGGCCGAACTTTGAATACCCTCCACCATTTGGTACAAATTTAAAAATTTTCAAAAAAAAAAAAAATCCGTTAAAATCTTAAAAATACCGAATGTAGCCGTATATTAGGGTCTATACGACGACGTGGACCTGCATAGGCAACTGTTGTCACAAGCTATTACAACATTCAAATGCGAAACTTGAAAAAAATCTGTTTATAATGTAGCTAAAATCATCAAAATACCGAATGTAGGGAGGTACCATGGAGGTTATAAACGTGGACCTGCACAGATAATTTTCTGTCTTAGACTGTAGTATCCATTACGAACTTTAAATGCCAAATTTAGACAATTCCGGTGAATAATGTCGCTAAAATCATCAAAATACCGAATATCGGGAGGTACCGTTATATGGGGACTATACGAAGACGTGGACCTACATGGCGCATTTTTGACTTAGGATGTAGTATCCATTATGAACTTCAAATACCAAATTTGAAACAATTCCGTTAAATCATGTCGCTAAAATCATCAAAATACCGAATATCGGGAGGTACCGTTATATGGGGGCTATACGAAGACGTGGACCTGCACAGACACTTTTCTGTCATAGGCTGTAGTATCCATTACGAACTTCAAATACCAAATTTGAAACAATCTCGGTAAATAATGTCGCTAAAATCATCAAAATACCGAATATCGGGGGGTACGGTATATGGGGGCTATACGAAGACGTGGACCTACATGGCCCATTTTCTGTTTTCTGCTGCAGTATCTATTACGAACTTCAAATACCAAATTTGGAACGGTTCCGTTAAATAATGTCGCTAAAATCATCAAAATACCGAATATCGGGGGTACCGTTATATGGGGGCTATATGAATACGTGGACCTACGTGGCGCATTTTATGACTTAGGATGTAGTATCCATTATGAACTTCAAATACCAAATTTGAAACGATTCCGTTAAATCATGTCGCTAAAATCATCAAAATACCGAATATCGGGAGGTACCGTTATATGGGGGCAATACGAAGACGTGGACCTGCACAGATAATTTTCTGTCTTAGACTGTAGTATCCATTACGAACTTTAAATGCCACATTTGAAACAATTCCGGTGAATAATGTCGCTAAAATCATCAAAATACCGAATATCGGGAGGTACCGTTATATGGGGGCTATATGATAACTTGGACCTACATGGTCCATTTACGAACTTAATCTGCCTACTGGCAAAATATACATCTCTATTCATTCGAAAGATAGAGTGATTACAACAGACAGACAGACAGACAGACGGACAGACAGACAGACGGACATAGCTAAATCGTCTTAGAATTTTACGCTGATCAAGAATATATATACTTTGTTGGGTCTGACGTGAGTATTTCGAGGAGTTACAAAAGGAATGACAAAATTAATATACCCTCCATAGTATGGTGGAGGGTATAAAAAAATATTTATGTATAAATAAGTAAGAGTCTGTCATTAATTAAAAAAAACTGCCAGCTGACAATATACCCCTCCCCCGGAAGAAATGGTTCGATCTCTATCATCTTTAATACAGATCTTATGTTGATGAAAATATAAAAATGTACCAAGTCAGAAAGGAATCGGATTTTAATTTCGCGTTTTATGAGCTTCATGGATATTCAAAATTATGACCCTTTGTAGGGGAGGTACCAGAAGAAATGGTCCGATTTCCATTATCTTTATAACAGATCTTGTGTTGTTGGAAATATTGAGATCTGCCAAGCCTGAATGAAACCGGATGTTAAATTCGCGTTTTATGATCTTCATGGATATTCAAAATTATGACCCTTTGTGGGGTAGGTACCAGAGGGAGTGGACCGATATATCCCATTTTCACAGCAGATCTTGTGTTAGTAGAAATAATGGGATGTGTAAAATTTGAAGAGAATCGGAAGCTTATTTCAAAATGTTGACCCTTTGTGGGGGAGGTATCAGAAGGAGTTAACCGATGTATTCCATCTTCACACCAGACCTTGGGTTAATAAAAATATTGTGATGTGTGTAATTTGAAGACAATCGGACACTTACATCACATTTTATAAGAGTTATAATTTTTCAAAATTTTTACTCTTTGTGTGGGAGGTACTGGATGAAGTGAACCGATATTGTCCATTTCCTCACTTGACCTATCACTGATGCTAATATTGGGATTTGCAAAGTTGGAGCAAAGTCGGATTATCCTTTATCTTTCTGTGCAAATTATTTGACCTTTTGTGGGAGAAGTACTAGAAGGAAGGGACCGATATTGTCCATCTCCGAACTCGATGTAAGTTTGATAATAATGTTGCGTTGTACCGAGTCCGACCGACACTCTCATCGAGAGTTTACGTGCGCAACAGCCAGCAGGCAGACAATCGGACGAACGGACGGACATCGCTAGATCGACTCCAAATGTCCTGAAACAGATTTGGGCCAAAGAGACCTAGAGTCTAAAACTGTTGTTTCGATGAGGCACGTTGTGCCCTCTCTAGCCATATGGCTGAGGGTATAAAAAATGGAATAAATCAATACAGAAAAAATTTGTCAAAATCCTGTCATCGATACAAAGGCGAGAGCGCCTCTTTTAAGTAGGAGTAACCATGCAATGTCCTGACATTCAGATCCACGTTTATCTACCTTGAAGAAAAAATATAAAATTTAATTTTTTTTTTGAATTCTGAAAGTTCTTGAATAGTAGTCTCTTAGAAAAACATTTATTTCCAATTTCATGCGAATAATCAAAATGTTTAGCTTTTCTGGGGAGGAGGTACCAGAAGGAGTTAGCCGAGATATTCACTCTTCCCAGCAGATCTTGGGTTGATAGAAATATTGAAATGTGCCGAGCTTTAATGGAATTTGGATGCTTAATTCGCATTTTATGGGCGTCATAGTTATTAAATATTTTGACCCATTGTTGGGGCAGATACCAGAAGAAGTGACCTCATATATTCCATTCTTAAAAAAACACCTAGAGTTCGTAAAAAAAAAATATTTCCATTTTAAAAGAGTTATAGTTATTCAAAATTGAAAATTCTCAGCTGACCTAGCTCTGATACAAATATTAGGATTTGCAAAGTTTTCTGTGAAAATGTGGACCTTTTGCGGGGGAGGTTCCAGGTGGAGTGGACCGATATTGTTCATCTTCGAACTCGACTTAAGTTCAAAAATAATATAACGATGTACAGAGTTTGGACCAAATCGGACACTCCCTTCGTGCTCACCAACCAGACAGGTGGACAGACGGATGGACATCGCTAGATCGACTACAGATGTCCTGAAACGGATTTGGTCCAAAAAGATCAAGGATCTAAAACCGTTATTTCGAAGAGGCACGTATCAAATGATATATACCCCTCAGTAGCCATGTGGCAGAGGGTATAAGAATATCAGTTAAACGCTATTTGTAAGACTGTCGAAATTCTTCAGAAAAATATTAAAAGTCCTCCAAAATATTAGAAAAGTCACGGTTTTCAACTCTAAAAATCCACTTGTATGAAAATACATTCTTAAACTTTTAGAGGTGGATGTTATTTTTTTTTTTTTGAAGTGCAGGTTTTAATATGCCATGAAAATTGGTTTAAAAATCAATATTGTCGCTCTAGATGCCCTTAAAAATTACGCGGAGTCCTTGAAATAAAAAAATATGACAAAAGTCCTTCAAGAAAAAGTAGGAGTTTAGAAGGCCATTGCTTAAGTCTGGAGTATTCCCCCATTGACTTAACTTCATATTACTCTCTATTAAAGAGAGCAGTTTTGGATATTTTAAATATTTTAAAGATTTTAGAACACCATAAAATTGTTTTTAAATATTCACATTTTAAGGACTTTTTAAGGATAAAAAACAAATTTTTCTTATAAATACTTTTAAGGAGATCCAACTTTTTTATCTCTAGAATCTTAAAACTTTTTTTCAAGGACTGATTTTTTAAATATTTTTTAAAGGAAATTTTGATTAATTGTTTTTTAAATATCCACCGTTTTAGGACCTTCTAAGGATAAAAAACAATTTTTTTTCTTTTAAATACTTTTAAGGAGTTACAATATTTTTATTTCTATATTTTTATAAATTTGTTTTTTTCAAGGACTTTTGCCATGAATTTTTTAAATATTTTTCAAAGGACATTTTGATTAAAATATTAAATTAATTA